TAGTGCAGTCACGTCCCCGTTTATACCATACTTGGTGCCACGTAGACCGAACAACAGTCCACCGTGGATAAATAAAGAAGTTAAGAAACTCCTTAGGCGTAGAAAAAAACACTGGAACATGTTCATCTCTACTGGCTTAGAACAGTACAGATCTAGTTATCGTAAGTTTAGAAATAATTGTAAAGCGTTAATTAGTAGGACTAGACGGTCATACGAAAAACAATTGGTTAGGGATTGCAAACATAGTCCAAAACGGTTATACTCGTATATAAAGAGGCGAACTCAGAGAAGTGATGGAATACCATCACTTTTGATACAAGAAAATCCGTTAAGTTTGGCAAGAAATGATACCGAAAAAGCGGAAGCTTGTGGCGACTTGTTGATGGACCCTGTAGTTATTAAGAAAGAAACTGTTTTAAGCCTAATTCAGCATCTCAAACCTGATAAGTCTAGTGGTCCTGATGATATTCATCCTCGGATTATGAAAGCCCTCTCAGATGTTATTGCTGAACCCTTAGCGATGCTGTTCGATATGTCCCTACGGCAGTCCAGATTACCCAGAGACTGGAAGGACGCAATAATCAGTCCGGTGTATAAGACTGGGGGTAGAGATTTAGTTAGTAACTGTCGACCCGTCAGCTTAACTAGTGCAGTTGTAAAACTAATGGAAAAAATTATTAGGATGGCTGTTATAAACTACGTGGAAAGAAATGATCTTTTATCCACGAAACAACATGGTTTTTGGAAAGACCTGTCAGGTTTGACAAATCTTCTTATTGCAAGAGAAGATCAGGCTGAGGCAAAAGATCAGAATATTCCTGTAGATGTAATTTTCATAGATCTAAGTAAAGCCTTTGATAAGGTTTCCCATTCTGGTCTTAAATTGAAACTAGAAAGTTTTGGAATTCATTATGCAGTCATAGACTGGCTAAGTGACTTTCTTCATGAAAGGAGACAACGGGTAAGAGTAAATGGAGCTCTCTCATCGTGGGAACCAGTAAAAAGTGGCGTCCCTCAAGGCACGATTTTAGGTCCTCTTCTCTTTTTACTTTATATAAATGAATTACCAGCTATAGCTAAGTCATCCGTCCCACTATTCGCCGATGACATTAAGATTTGGAGACCCATATATAGTATGTCAGACAGAATAGTTTTACAGGAAGATCTTAACTCACTAGTTGCATGGATGAATGGGTGGTCACTAGAAGTAAACCTTAATAAAAGTGTTGTGATGCAATTAAATAACTACGATGATTCGTATCACTACACAATATGTGGACTAGTGTTACCCAAAGTAAGAAACTATAAAGATTTAGGAGTCATACTAAGTAATGATCTCAAAACAACCAGTCACTGTAAGGCTGCTGCTGCAAAAGGCTATAGGGCATTATGGTCTATTCGTAGATCTTTCCGGTATCTGGATGGGGAAATGTTTAGATTATTATACCCAACTTTTGTACGGCCACATTTGGAATATGGGATTCAAGCAGCGAGTCCTTGTTTCAAATATGAGGCGGATATGTTGGAACGAGTTCAACGCCGCGGGACAAAAATGGTAAAAGGCTTATCTAGCCTATCTTATGAAGACAGACTGAGACACCTCAATTTATTTCCGTTATCTTACCGGCGAATACGGGGTGATCTAATATTGGCATATCATATCCTGAACGATGACCTTGGTACTAACATGTCCTATCTTTTCCTCCCGTCTAGGGCTGAGCATTTGAGAGGACATTCAAGGAAAGTCCAAAAACCGAGATCAAATCGTCTACGTCTGGAGTTTCGTTTCTCGCACCGAGTAGTGAATTACTGGAATTCTCTACCAGAACACGTAATATCAGCACCTTCTGTTGATATATTCAAGACGAGATTGGACCTCCACAGTGTAACAAACTGCAAGGATTAAAATAGGTCACTAGACCTCCTATCCTTATTACTGAAGACTGAAGGAATGCAGTATGATCAGTGTAAAGAAAGGTTCCATAATATATGTACCCGTTTAAGTTCCACCGCATACAAAAGATGCTCGAAGCCTAACTCGCATTGGCTTTGCATGTTTTGCTGTACAAATGGGACGTTAACAATACAGGAGGCTATAAGTCTGTTAGTTTTGACCTGTAAAAAGAAAGATAGTGGTTGCGCTGGCAGCAAAGTACTGACGGTGATGAATGTGTCAGTGTTGTACGTGTCGTTACAGGATGCGTTAAACACCCTACTGTGATTGAAGGAGAAGTGAAAATTCCGTTAAAGCTAACGGGAATTGAAGAGCCACTTGATATTGACATGGGTAGTTATGCATCTCTAGTTGAAATTGATGACCCGGATAAAACCGTCACCATTCCAATAGGTCCCGGTGTGGTTGTCCTGAGTGTTGAAAAATGGACGGCAGTGCCGAGAAAAAGAAGTGGAAAAAGCCAAAAGTAATACGTACTTGTTTGGGAAGTCGTTGGTTAAATCGCATCCTGAGTCACACAATACACTACCGAGTGACGGAATCCTATCACTTTTGGTACAAGAAAATCCGTTAATGTTGGCAAGGAACGACGCCGAAACCGCTGAAGCCTTATCGGAATATTTCTGTCAAGTATTTTTTATCAGTAATAAGAAACGACCGAATATTGTGGCGGCTTGATGATGGACACTACAGTTATTGAGAAAGGTACTGTCTTAGGACTACTTCAGCATCTCAAATCTTATAAGTCCAGTGGTCCTGATGATATTCATTCTAGGGTTATGAAAGCCCTATCAGATGTAATTACTGAACCTTCAGCCATACTGCTTGATATGTCCCTGCAGCATTCTGAATTGCTCAGAGACTGGAAAGACGCGATAATTAGTCCGGTGTATAAGACTGGGGGTAGGGATTTAGTTAGTAACTATCGACCCGTCAGCTTAACTAGTGCAGTTGTAAAACTAATGGAAAAAATTATTAGGATGGCCGTTATAAACTACGTGGAAAGAAATGATCTTTTATCCACGAAACAACATGGTTTTTGGAAAGACCTGTCAGGTTTGACAAATCTTCTTATTGCAAGAGAAGATCAGGCTGAGGCAAAAGATCAGAATATTCCTGTAGATGTAATTTTCATAGATCTAAGTAAAGCCTTTGATAAGGTTTCCCATTCTGGTCTTAAATTGAAACTAGAAAGTTTTGGAATTCATTATGCAGTCATAGACTGGCTAAGTGACTTTCTTCATGAAAGGAGACAACGGGTAAGAGTAAATGGAGCTCTCTCATCATGGCAACGCGTAAAATGTGGGGTTTCCAAGGACAAAATCCTCGGTCCTCTTCTCTTTTTACTTTATGTAGATGGATGCTTATCGTTAGCTTAACGATAACCTTGGTAATAAAGTCTTATGTTTTCTTTCCGTCTAGGACTAATTATTTGATAAGACATTCGAAGAAAGTTCAAAAACCGAGATCAAGTAGTTTACGTCTGGAGTCTTGTTTCTCACACCGAGTGATTTTTACTGGAAATCTTTACCAGAACACGTAATATCAGCACCTTCTGTCGATGTATTCGAAACGAGATTGGACCTCCACAGTGTAACAAACTGCAAGGATTAATATAGGTCAATAGACATCCTGTCCTTATTATTGAAGACTGAGAGAAGTCCTCCATATACAATAAGTTAACTTAGATGATTTTCAACCACGTGTGTTTTAATATCACTGTGGAAAGTTCAGGGTGGAAGTTAATGGGAACTATTTCTTCCGTCACAATAATGTCTTCCTAAAACTTTTCAAAATGTATTCAAACCTCCCTCGGTGAGAGCATAATTTATGGACGATTTTTGAGCGACGTTAAAGTGGCCTAGAGAATGTTCACTTACTTGCTAGGGCTAGATGGGAGTTCTAAACCTGTGTAAAGAATATGGATAATGATTTACAGTTGATGGTTAGGGTTAGAAGTTAGACTTAAAGTTTTCTCGACGAACTGATATCAGCTAAAATCCCAAAACGCTTTTCAACCAAATGAATGAATGAATTTTGCGTTAAAATTCAAGACCTATTATCCTAAACCTTATTGGTTCGGTCACAAATTATAGTTTCGTCATGACTGAACTAGGTTTTGTTCAGAAATTTCTTTTTCTTATTGTTATCGAGAAACGCGTATTCATTTTCACAAATAGGCTACCTTTATTACTTTACGACTGAAAACTGGAAGTGTTCACGTTCTAATACCTTATTTTCACATTTTGTTTGAAGCTATGGACAACTCTTATAAATCTTTCCCCTCGTGACACTTATTAGACCAGAGATTGAACTCGTCGAATCCAAGGTTACTAAACAACCGGGATATAAAGGCGTCTATAAGTTTGTAACCAAATAGATAGATATTGTAGGATACACTGAACATCACTTAATTAGTATTTATGTAAGGTCTGGAGAAAAGTGTTAAATTCGGTTTGTGGAACCAAACATTTTGCCAATCGTTTTCATAGGCTGACTTTTAAGACAGTGTTTCTATGAGCAAGCCCCTTTTAATATGGACTTCAGTATTTTGTTATCTATTCGATTTGTTGTGGAAGAGTTTTTCTTCCATCAGTTATGGGGAAATTCCTAATTTTTCAGACGTTATATACTTTCCCTTTTGCCTTCTGGAGTTGGCAATCTTAGGAAAACCCGAGATCATGTAATTTAAAGGGTCCAAAGTTTTTTGAGCTACGACACAATTAGGTGCTTCACCAAGAGTTGTCAGGAATAGGGCTGGAACCATGTATTTAATGAACATTTTTAGATTGTGACTGTAATAATAGAGTTTTTTCCATTTAGTAGTTGATCGCTTTTTGTGATTTGTAATTAACGTATTTCTGATGGTTAGACAAATAAGCGAATGAATGTTAAAAAACAGACTTAAGTAATTTAATTTTGTTCAAAATACAGCAGAGGTTTCAACATACTATTTTCCTGAATATTATACTGTATTATGATGTGTAACTTCCAGAAGAGATTAAATGGGGAACAATACAGTGATCGTCAAGTTGATAAACATAACATGGAGTTTCTATTGGGCTTGAGGTTTGATGAATCAGTGTATGACGAAATATTGCCAGTATCGTTAATATCATCACAAGATAAATTTTGGAAATTTTATAAACCGTTAAACAAAGTATGCTGTTGTTTTTAAATGCACAGTTGACTATCTTTAGGTTCAGTATATAAAGAAAACTGGATCCGGAATAAAATATGGATGTTCTAGAATTTTTTTTCCAAACAAATCGGATAAAGAAAACTCAAAAATCGTGACGTTTAATCAAGTGTGTTATTTTGAATGCTTTTCATTCGCTTAATCAAAATATTTTCCTGCTCAACATTTCCTGGTGACTCGAACTATTGAATGAGAAAAACATTTCTAAAGGTTCACAGATTTAATGTTTAATGACTGGATATTAAAAGTTATTGATAAAGTTTGTATAAGCTTACCAGTGATTATGACCCCATTGGTTTTAACAAACACTACTGCGTGGAAGTGCCAAGCCAAGTGTCCTGACCACAGTTCTACTCAGTCTAGGAGAAGTGCTGATTAATCTCATGCCCACTCGTCTTTGGTTCTCTTCAAGTCTATTGTTCCTGTCAACGCTCAACATCCTCCTGTCTGTTTATTTTCCGAGAACCAAACATAGATAAATTCAATAGTTGCGTAGTGTAATTTTGTCGTTTTTGATAAGTCTTTCTAATTGAACGGTATACTCGGATCCTAAGCTTGTCTCGTAACCCCCAAGCTAAATCTACACAGCGACTTGAACACGAGAGAAAAGGCGCAAAATGTGCGAGAAGCACTTTACTCAAAAAGCTCATTAAATGTACAGAAAATATAGGGTTTTTATATTATTTTAGAAGTCTTTGGGTTTTCCCGAAAATTCTGGAATGCTACTAAACATGGTAAAAGTGTAGTAATCTGCCAAACAGAAACTCCACATGTGACTTTTCACTTTTTTGATGTTTCTAGAAAAACGTTTAGTCGACGCTGATTGGATAAAATACTTCTTAATGTTTCCTGAGCCTTTCTTGTCTATTGCGAGGAATTTTCTGGATTACCCCAACAGTTTTAAAGTTTCTCCATACATCTCAAATGTTTGAAGGTCGTACTATCATTTTTATTTGAGTTGAAATGAACGTATGTATCTGTTTCACAACTTTAGATCAACGCCGGGCATGGTTTTTATCAGAAAGGAAACGTAGCACAAATAGCAGCGTGAGTTTATAGCTCTTTGTCTCTGAATTAGGTTGAAACGACTGATTGTTATAATTGAAGGAGTTTGTCAAAATGTTGAAATTAATTGTTTTCCTTTAATGAATGATTTGAAAACCCAAATACACCATAGTTTGTGTTCAATCTATTGATTTGAAATAATTCTTTAATGGTTGCATTTTCTGTCAATGTCTTATAACTGGCAATCTTACCAAGCGCTGATAACCAATAATATCTTTTGTCAAACTAAATCAGTTGATTTTAAATTGGTCTTAGTAAAAAAACAACCAAATTGAGCTATGTCCGTTTTATAAAAGCAGCTTATAATAAAGTCATTCTAGTGTTTCAACAAATATTTCCTCAGAAATCTAAAAATATTGACTAATGCCAATAAACCAGTTTTAATGTTCTCAAAAGAGTTGAATTTTTAATATATAATTTATTAAATGACAATTTAGAAGTTTTGGGTATTTGAGGTATAGGTTTATTATTATTATTATTATTATTATTATTATTATTTGTAGTAGTAGTAGTAGTATATCAGTGTTTTACACTTATGCAGAATAAATTTTGCCAAACATAGTTTCACTTTATAACGTTGTTATATTTTACTGTCAATAAGCATAATAGTGCATTGTAATAGAGTGCACTCTAAAGCATAAACAAGCGTAAATGGGTTTTAATCTAAATTTTGGGTTTTAATTCATTAGGGTGTTTAGATGTTCAAATTATTCGTTAATATGCTCATGCGTTCACCAAATGTAATCAAAAATAATAATGATGATAAATTCACAATTCAATGGGTTTTTAATTAGTTTACTAGATTCTCTATAAAACAGTATTCTTTTTATATTTAATAAATTTCATTTAGGCCTAAGACCTGCAATAAAAGAAAAATTCACAGTAAACCAAAATCATGTAGCCAGGAATTGAAAAAGTTTGGCCTAAAAGGTTGGTTCCTCTCTGTTGATTTTCCCTCTTTATTATTAGTACAATAGATGAAGCGAAAGATAAATAACTAAAAAAAGCAATTGAATTTATAATTATGAATAAAAATAGGGTGTTAAATATTCGAAGTTGGCTATTTTACCTTATGAAGTGGAGATTCAAATTACACTTTACGACGTTATTAATAGTATTCCAAATGTATGTATTTAATATGACAAAGAAACTTTACTAATTAGCCTTAGTACACGTAAGGGAACTTTTAATAGAGGAAGATGTATCGATATTGATGCTTTTCGAACCATGTGCTATGAAAACTAGTAAGAATTAGCAAGCAGTACATTGATGAGAAGATTGAGGAACGTCCAAATATCAAATAATAAGAAGGAAAAATTTCAGTTAGCATTATTTGTGTAATACTAACGTAATCACCTTGTTACCATAACGACCATAGTGGTGATGTAAATTATTTCAATCATGATCTGTACATTTTAATCTTTTGCTGAGATTTGGGCAAACGATTTGGGAGGAGTCTTCGTGCTACAGTATAAACGGATAAGTCTCTAAGTGATCTTAGTATGAGACGAATCGTAAAAGTGAACACACAACAGTTTTTATTGCTCGTTTCAACTAACAGTAGCTGAATCGGCACCGATTGCTTTCAGAATTCTAGTCACCAACTAACAACAAATATATATATATATATATATATATATATATATATATATATATATATATATATATATATATATATATATATATATATATAGTTTTAACTCTCTCAGCTCAGAATCGACACGGAAACAAGAACAACTAATAAGAAGAAAAGTAGAATGAAAAGCTAGTCGAACATAAGGAGAAGCAGATACTATTGCAGAAATATTAACGTTGAGTAATAATGGCCTGAAAATCTAGAAGACGGTGGAGAATAAGTACATCTGTTATAGACTTTTGCTCAAGGTATTCACCTTTGATTGCAATCACTGAGCTAGTCAAAACTTACAATTTTGCAGCTTATCTGGGGAAGTCAATGACTTCATTAACCTATACCATATCATGGTCTCTTTATCCCTTGTATTTTTCCAAAATCCTCTTATACAGGGCGATGACTCGGTATCCATAAAACACACCCTAGCGCAATAAGTCAATGAAGATTTACTGCATTACTTATCCTTTCGGTAATTCCACCTATAAACCTAAATTTAACCCTGCTATCATTAACTTAGTGATTTCGCCATATGCAAAGTTTTTAAACTTTTGAATAACTTTACTCACGATTTCAAGATATTTACCAGATAGGTTTGATTATTTTAACATTTATGTGCTGGGCATAAATTCATCTTTTAAAATACTTTGTAGCCAATATAGATTGCAAAAAGGTAATATCAAAACTTAATTCACAAACAAGACTATCGGAGTTTCATTTTGATTTCTTAAATATCCCCACATTGATGAACTGTAAGAATCAATCTGATCGCTATTTTGTGGATACTTTTGACAAAACATCGAAAAACTATAAATCAGAAGTAAGTGCATCTTCAGGTAAGTAAGCTTGAGAAGAAAACTTGAAGTAATTTAAGGCTTAAAATAAACTGAATGTGAGTGAATTTTCAACCAATTCAAATTAAGTAGTTGTTAGTTTACTTTGATATCGAACCATTATTCACTACTATATGAGTACTGTGAATGATTGATCATACAAAGCTCTATAGAAAGAACTTTATATAATGATTTACTAGATTTTAAACGAATTCGATAAGTAGTGGTGATACAAAAATTTCTGTAACAAGTTAGGTATCTGAATAAAATGTTTTTAAAGTTTCTGTGTTTGGATTGGATGTTTGAAGTCAGTTAGCTGCTCGAAGATTCTAAGTTTTGATAAACGTATTGAGCATTTTTGAAAAAAAACAATCCTTAGCAGCTTTAAAATAGTTTATTTAGTTAGCTCATATATGTGGTTTGTACTTTACGTTTTGCACTTATTGAGAGGTTGAAGAAATCTATAGTGGTGGTATGAGATGACCTGAAAGTCCTTGATTCGATTCTGTAGAAGGTTGTTGACACACTTTGACCAGAGGTCCTATACTAAGACTAAACATCTGTCCAATGCCTTCGAGTTTCCAGTGTTTGTCTAACTTGGGTCGCTTTGCGATCTCAGTATCGAATATTCATAGATACTTATTGCATTATCATATTAATTTTAGTGCTTGAACTTTGAAGATTTATTGAAGTTTAAGAAAGTTTTGAAGAAAGAGTTATATAGTGATCTTTTTGATCAAACAGCTATGAAATTAGAATTAAAGAACGCTTGTAAGCCTATGTTAATTTTACTCCGTATTTTATTTTATTGTTCTACAGTAAGTGAATTCTAATGTAGACAAAACTTATATGGTGTAGAAGATTTGTAGCTCAAGTGGATGATTTTGATGGAGTTTTGTTCTCTGAGCTGGATGGTTTAGTCGTGAACTTCTACCCGAAGTTTGTGTTCATGATGAAAGCTCCACGACCAAACCATCCAGCTCAGAGAACAAAACTCCATCAAAAACAAAGCTTATGTTTTGTGTTCTGAAGAATTGAAACAAATAATAATATAGGCTATGTTAAATGTCACTCTGATATTTGCATTTAATTGTCCATACTAATCTACCAACTAATATTCTAGGTTATATCACTACAACAGAATATTTATTCTATAGAAAAATGTTAACTAAACATCAGTTTATCCAAGTTTCATTATCGGATTAGAATTCAGATGTTTTCAAATAAATTTAATGTTCTTCATTAGTCAACTGTTGTTCATTTACATCGCGCTACAGATCGAGAAATTCTCTTTTGTGTGGGTCTGATTACTTTAGATATCTCTATTTTTTTAATTTTGAAAAAAAGCTGAATACATTAGTGAAATTTTTAGTTTTATTTGACTGCAACAGAATAAACGAAAACCTGGAAACATGAGATATTTATTTCACCATAGCTAGAGTTTATGTAATGGCGTGAACTTTGATTATTGTGTTGGGTAAAATCCAGGACCTTCTGATCTCTCAAGTGGCTGGAATATTTCAACGAGAGTTTCTAATTACTGGACGGATTAATAAATACGGTGACTTCTAGCTAACCTTATTGAATACAGCCCAAACAAAGAGGTTAACGATGGACCTTTCCTAGAATGCCTTGAGTTAGGTTTAGGATGTTTGATATGTTCTGTTGATTCTAAGTTGATTTCAAAAGACTGTCTACTCATTATCAGGGAAGCATTTGCGTATATTTGTTGCTCTATAAACTTTAGTAATACCACTAGTCCTAGTGACATTAGGTAGATATTCTCTGATTTGATGTTTGGTCAATTTCCCTTAGTTACGTGGATTTGAAAAATGTTCTTTGCATATGAAAAATGTACCAGTTAATTTTCAATTGTGCCCTTGAGAAATTATTTGCGTTCATGTGATTGGTTCTGTTGTAATGTAATTAATTTTGTCAAAAGTCAATTCACTAGTACTTATTGTCCGTTCTTCGGAACAACATGGGGACTTGTTTTTACTGACTTATTGTCATTTTGTTTGAATATTTTTCTTTCAGTGTTTCACTGGGCTACTGAATGTGGAATTAAAATCTTAAGATTTCCATCAAATGAAATCGATAATGTCTTCCACCGTTTAAATATAATGGATGTAAAGATCCAGTTACAAACAATTGTCTCCATAGGAGTTTTTGAAGTAAATCCAAACAGTGAGTTTTGGAAAAAGATACTATTTTATTTACAAGTCTATATGTATGTTTAGAAAATATACAACTACACTGATTATTAACTGTTTTGTAAATGTTATTCAGATGAAAATGTTGCATTTTCATGTATGTTTTGTTGAAACAGAATCCAAATTAATGAATCCACAGATTTATCGTTATTTTTACTTTAAAATTCATCTGACAGTCAGTTTGTCAGTCACAACCAAAGTAGAACCTGGCACAAATGTGGATCTGCCAAAGTTATCACATCAAATCATCTCGCTTATTTGAGGTTATTGTGGGGAATAACAAAGAAGTTGTATTAAAACTGTTATTGATGATGTTACGAAGACTGAGTATGGAGAATATAATTCAAGAAGGGGATGAAATAAAGAAATAAGTTTAAAGTATCAATCAAATGTATTGTGGTGAACGAGAACAGATAGCAGGGACAACCAAACGTATTTGAGCACGAAATTACGGAATCTTTCAGTAAAGTTTGAGAACCATGCAGTAAATACTTCATTTGCAAAATGTCAACCAATTGCCTCAGACTTCATTGTCCCTTCATTTCCACACCAATCATTTTCTGTTCTCGTTCTCTTTTCTTTGACCTTCTTAACCTTCTGTCACCAGGCATTTCACTTTCTACTGATGATACATACTACTTATATCTGTCGACATCAGTAGCACACATCACAGTATGATTTAAGGAAATTTAAACGTTAAATGTAACTGTATCATTGCAACCGATTTCGAGCCATGTCACCTACATTCTTCAATCGTTGAACACAATCATTTAACCGACAGCGACCAGATAATATTTATCTGTCACTACGGCTTACTTTATCAGTCAATTAATTAACGCTGATTTATTCCTCGTTTCAGTCACCATCCAGTTAGAAAAAGCCTAAGAGAAATGAACTTTGGACTAGCTATCTTTGTAAGTATAGATGTAGGCAATAATATTGTGATAAAAAACCATTTTCAGAAGCTTAATTATGGTAATGTTAAATAAGTTCCTAAATCAAACAGTATTCGACATCGAAAGATTTCCGACAATTAGTATTAACTCTGAAGAAATGAGATTGATTCATTGGACAACAAGCTAAGATTATTATTTGAGTTAATTATTTCTTGATTCATTTAAAACTGAAAACATGACATTGTTTGGTGTTTCGGAATTAAAATTAGTGTTCCAAATTTTCATTGCACAAAATGACTAAAAATAATGTATTTGCGGAACATGCGCACATCAATATATGCAAAGCTTTGGGCCATATTCATTCAAGCAACTTCTCTACAATTCATTGGTATCGTGGTAGTGAATCATTTCTTATTAAAGATGTCTTCATCGATTCAGAACAATCCGTTTCGAATTAATTAATTAAAAATGACAGTCTCCATATTTTCTCAGGTTTTATTTTATTTACACATTTTAACAGGTGAGCAGATTGCGATTCTCCGTGGTTTCCTTTTTCACAATAATCAAGAAATTATCTTAGCTACTTGCTTGTGTCTTAATATAATAGGTTATTCTAACCAAACATGCATTGAAAAATTAAATACGTTGATCATGATGGATCAAAGCTTATTACTTAAGAAATCATCAAATAATAAAGTATCATCTACATCTTTGAATCTATTGAAATGGGCATCGTCAATTTGTTTATGTAAATTAGATCAATGCAATTTAAAAGCATTAGATATTTTAACTGATCTTCTATTTGATCAGTTAATTGAATTTATTCCTGAACAATATCCAAACAAATCTTATTATACTCAAATGAAAGAGTTAAGCTGTTCATTGAATAAATCATCAGATTTAGAAGATGAATATATGAACTCATTTGTTTCGATTCTTTCCAATCTTATAAAATTTGATATAAACAAATCAAATATCTTCTTAAATAAAATTATTCACTATTCTGAAATTAAAATGATTTTACGTCTTAGTAGAAATCATGTGAGTTAGTTTGCATGTATTTTTGTCTATAAAAAGTCCTTCAAAAAATAATTAGTTCTTTATTGAATAGTTTAGGAAAGTACTCTACTAGATAATATGCATAAAGCACAAAACAGTTTAGATTTTGAATTCAGTGAAACAGGATTTATACTTTTCTGATGTTCTAGGAAATAGTTTCTTAAAATTGCTCATTGTTCATATACAACATAAAATAAAGGCTTCAAATAACATAGGTTTCATGGTCTAAGGATTATCTAGATAATGTTGAATTTCGCTCACATTTTAGATGAACTGTTTCTATATAATCAGGTTGAATATTTGTTGACACAAGAACAAGAAGTTTGATTAATAAACTATTTAATTATAGCTATTATATATTGCCATTCGTCAATCTTCATGAGTCAGTTTGAGTAACGTAACTTCTCGTAATTTTTAATCTAAATAAGTGTTTGTGCATGAAGTCTGAATCTATCAGTGACTTTCATTGAGAATAGTCTTATCAGTACCTATTATCAACGATGGAGTAGAAAAAGGAATTTAACCCATTTGCTGTTATGTACTCTGTGTAGCATGAAATAGATACCGAGCAGAATTATTGACGTCTTTTTAGCACAGAATGGCATATATTCATCAAATTAGTTAACGGAAAAATGACACAACTCAGTCGGTCACAATGGTCGAATTTCATTCATTGGTAATGTTCTTCTTCTTACGTATAATTTGATTCTTCCTTTATCTGTAATATGTTTATTAAGTTCAGCTTTACCCTGAATTTGATACTATTTTACTTTTCTTTGCTCTAATGGGAGAAATACGAAGAGCGGTTTAACTTTCCTGACTGTTACATCTGAAGTTGTTAATATGTTTACTGTATAATTAATAAGTACGTGTAGCATGCTCATATTCTTTTTGCTTAATTATGTTGATGTATGGCCAGGATTTTATCCTATACTATTATATAGAGGATTTATAGATTGAAGTTTTATGCTTTATATGTTGCTTTACATCCTGGCTATCGGGCAAGCGAGCGTGGGAGAATTCTATTCTGAACTTAAAGTCGTTGAGTATAAATCTTGTCTATTTTCTCGCTATCAACATGTTACTGATTAACAAAAGGCCATTGATACTAGATACATAGTTTAGAAGGATTAATCAATACAACTGCTCTCTAGTACTAAGAATCGATTAGATGGGCCCCGAAAATAACATAAGAAATTCGTTCTAATCAGTTAAATTACTCTTTTTGATTTTAATTATGATAAATTCGTTTCCTATTTTGATTAAATAAGTTATATGAATTGAATATATTAACCATAACCGATTATTATCGTTACTACTATAAAACGAAGAGTTCAATAAATCTTCAGTACAAAATGGAATACTTTTATGCTGATGTAAACTGAAAATCGTAAAATATTTTTCCATAATATAATGAAAACTTGTATCCTATACGAATTTTATTTTTATAAGTTGTACTGTTTCTATTGAAATAATCTTTATCATAAACTTTAATTCTTTTTTGTTTACTTCTTTTCAAACAAGTCACAAATTGAACATTATTTTACTGAATTTTTGAATTCGCCAAATTGGAGAATCAGATTATGTTCATGTTGGTTTCTATCTATTTTACTATGTGATTTAAACAAAGTAAGTAGTATATGCGTATTTTTGCAATGAATAAAGCAGTATCAATGTGATAGATCTTAAATTGTGTAGTTTAAAATAATCATTGATGATAATTATTTCCTAAGACCATCACAATGAAAGCGTACATATTTCGATATTGTTCATATCATTGCATTTAATTATTTCATGAACTTATATCAATTTTAGAATTTGGTTTCCTTAGTTGTTTTTACAAACCATATTGCCAACCATGACAGTGTATTTAGATGGAATTTATAAATAGATATTATATACACATGTTTCATATACCATTCTTTAGTCTATAGTTTAGAAATTATTTCGGTCGTTCAGTTCAGTGGAAGTATGATGCTTCAGAGTTTTGTGAATAATTCAGTTAATCACTTTGAAAAAACTGTTTTTTTTATGATGCAGTGATGCACAACTATTTGTTATATGACACATTTAGCTCTGGTTTGTGGTGTATTTTATTTAAATGATGTGGAAATAAAATAAAGTATTATGTGGTGAAAAGTGAGAGTATAAATATCTTGCTCATTTCAAAAAGTTATATTTTATATCTTTGATGATTGATCCATGTTTGTATTGATAGCGTATTGACCTCTTAATGTGTTTTTCATGATAGAAGTTATGACACACATAGTGGAATGAACGATTTTTCAATACTGTCAATGTTCGAAAGGAAGTTGTAAAAACTTGTATCCATCGGGAAATATAATTTACATACATTAACTGAAGAATTATAGCGTTTGTTAAGTTATTATTTCATATAATCTGATATTATTCATGTGTATTTGTTTAATATCCAGTCTTTTTTGAATGGTTTTTTATAGGATACCCTTACAAGAATAAATCGTCTTTTACTATTAGATTGGAGTACTATGTTACGGATAGCTGCACTTCATACTCTGGAGACAAATTTGAAGGGGACAAATGTATCTTTATTATGGTCAAATAATCTATTTTATGACCCATTTTTGTCAAATGATAACAATAGTACTATAATGAATAAAATAGTCCATGACTCGTCTATAACCTCCAAGTCAATTTCTTATCGTCGTGCTCAGAGACTTTACCAATCAGCTATGGAAGGTAATGTTTTACCACTTCGAATTTCTTCACTTTTTTAAAGATTTCATCACATGTTTTCAAACCTTTTCTACGTCCAATTTATTAAGTTCAACACTTTTACAATATTTAATAGTTATGTTTCATTTATGTATGAATTAATTTTATAATTTTAATAGTTAAATTCATGAGTCGATGTAAGCTAGAGCACCACTAAAGTCCTGGAAGCACTGGACAACCGTTTTATCCTAGTTTGAAACTCCTCGGCAGTGCTCATCCACGATCCCGCACGCGGAATTCTAACCCAGGACCTTCGGTCTCGCGCGCGAACGCCTAGCTCCCAGAACACTGAATCGGCATACAACAGTGTTAATGTCTAACTTCAACCGACCTATGATCTTGCTCAACCATTCTGTTATATCATAGTGAAGACGTAAGTACTGGTAACTCCCAGGACCTATTAATGGACTATTATTCTATACATATTCTTATGGTTTAACTATTGAGTAGCTAGATTGTGTATATCTATATTCATCTTACTACAAGCTTCATTTTGACCTATGGATTATTATTATATGAATTACTATCCCTAAATTATATTCAGTTTATTGACTATTGTACCCCACATTCACAGCCACATTTGGCTTGATCTTGTGCAAATATAATTTTCTATTTGATGGTGTGATGCGGTCTGTCTGTCTGGTATATTAACTAAGTATGTTTGAAATTAATGATCCGCATAGCAGAAGCCATTATTGGTGTTCTGGACTCAAATGGAAGGGCTAGGCGGATAAGGGATCAATAAAGACGCCAGACTGCTTATACCAGTTGAACGTTATTGATTTGGTGAAGTTTTAACATTGGAAAAGTCCTATTCCGATTGATGAATAATTCATGTGATAAAAACCGGACATAAAATCATAACGAATTGGCGTACGGTCTTCTTTTATAAAGTCATAACCCATTGTCTGAGATAGATACCTATCTCGAGTCTTGCATTCAAGGTCGTAAATGCTCACTGTCGAGGAGTCCCATATTAGGACGAAACGGTCGTCCAATGCTTCCAGGTTTTTAGCGGTGGTCTAGCTTACATCGACTTATGAATTCAACTATTAAAATCACTGAAACTTTTCGCAAACCCCCATCCTAATTTTATAATCTACAGAAAAATTATAAGGTATACATTTGGTTATATTATGTGGAATTTAAATCAGTGATTTCAATGAAATGTTTAGTTTGCAGGTAGATTTCAATGCGTACCATACGTAAATGAATGCTTTTTGGACAAAGAGGTGGTTGGATACGCTAGCGTTGGTTCTTCATAAATCATTCAAATAATCGACAGTGATACTTATTTTTTGCCTAAAATATGTAACATTCTAGCTCTTCAACTGGAATTGGTTCATGTTATGTAGAGCATAAAATTTCTGTTTTACGATCTAAAGTCCATACATTTTCCTTCGTACGTCAGTTTGAAAAACCCATATAATAAGGCCTAACAATAGTAAGTATGGTTTGCAGCAGATTGCATAAGAATGTGCTTATTTCCTACTTCATAAACGCTGACTATTATCGGTATGGGATTGCGGAGAGTGTTAGATTTCTCTGAAATCACGAGCCAATCACAGTTAGGCAACCACTGAAAACCCGGGAGAACTGGGAAAATGTTTCGTCCTACTATGCAACTCTTCAGTATTGCGCATCCATGAACTTCCAACCAGAGTTTGCAGTGTATAGCCACTTAATACTGGTTCTTATTCTAAACAGATAAGTGTCAAGTTTTATCTTCTAACCCCCGACCATGTATTAGTGATTTTCGTCAACAAATCGCTATCATTAATTATAATATAAATCATTTTAACTTTAAAGAAAATGCTAATTTCAAGCAAATAGTCATGTTTAGAGTAAAAACATCAATTAAAATTAACTACCTGAAGTTTTAGTATGATTTTATCTTACTTTTGGTCATTATTATTATTTTCTTCAATTTTTAGGTCTTACACACGATGATTTAATCAAACAGCTTCATTTCGCTTTAATGGATGAATTTAGTTGTGTCCGTGAAATGGCATGTGTTATCATTGAGCAACAGAACTTAGCTGCAGAACCTGTCATTTTCAATGAATTGCTTAAAATTTTAAAGAATGATATAAATGATAAAGTTAAGATAATGGCTATAAGAGGTGGGTTATAATAAGTTCTTTACACTGTTTTATCGAAACATCGGTCATAATAAAGTAATCGTAAATTTTTGGAACATGAAAATCGTTTACGAAGTTTGTACTCACGATGATGTCTAATGATCAAATGTAGTCCTTGGTAGAATTCAATGGAATTTGCAAATAACCTCGCAATGAATCACTGAGATTGTGAACGCCACGTTTATTACACGAAAACCTACCTATTTTTTGTACTGAAAAATTCATGGCCTTGAGTTATGAATTATTTCAGCTGAACCGATTAAAGTGTCTGATTCATGAATATATGGTTCTTCTGTTTTATAGAAGTGAAAAACGAGCTTTGCAATTACGCTGATACGTTGTGTTTGATTTCAATGACAGCATTTGTAATCATAGGATATGCGCTCATACCATTAAGAAACTTTTTCAAACGTAATTAGTTAAATATTATTCGATGGTATTTAGATGATGGATTTTGCCTGAATATACTAACAGTCCTATATATCAAGTTTTAAGAGGAGTTATATTGGTAGGGCAGAGAAGATAGTCACACTTAAATTCTTGTTCTTAAAAATCTGATCTTTTTATGAGTTGAGGTGTTCATCATTAAGATTGAAAATAATTTGGGTGACTGAATTTCTCATAGATAATATGAGTGCTTTTAAGTGGATTGATAAATAAATGAGCGCAAGCTACTTCAGATTTAAAGAGGTAGCAATAAAAGCTTGAAACCTGATATATGCTCCTGAAAAAGCTTTTATCAGTTTCCTTCCCTCGAAACGGAACGTCTTGTTTTCCTCCATTGTTTGACTACAACACTTTTCAACAGTTCTTTAGTTTATCCTATTATACCATTTTAAATCAATACATATTTCGTCCTTAAATGTCTTCAATTTGTGTTCATTTAGTTATTGACTCAAAAGCTGATTTTAAACTCTTCTCCTGGGTTTGGTCTTTACATTTTACATCTTATGAAATTAATTTTAAAATACCACTATGCAACATTAGACTGATAAGTATTTAAGATAACATTTGATTAATGTCATTTTTACAAAGTATGCTAAATCACATTTACGATTTCGAGATGATAATGTTTCAGCTTCTAACTATCTGATTAAAACTTACCGAAATGTCATTCTGTTCAAATCGTTGTTCATGTTCTCTTCACATATCTCATTTATTTGGTCCTCTTTCAAAAAACTTTTATTACTCCAGATTTAGCATTTTGTATAATTTGTTATTGATGCAATTCAAGAAGCTCGTCGAATCGTTGATAACGAATTAATCACTATTCAGTAAAGAAAGTTTCATATATCATCAAAAAACTGTTTCTTCTTTAGGTTGTTAGTTATATAAAATTTTCAAAGGTTGGTGTCATAGAAGAAGGAAATTTAAGGAAGTTAGAACATTTCAGAATGAATAAGAAGCTGAGTAAGCGGAAAGGTTACCTAATGTATTTAGGGCATAAATACTCAGTTACAGTATTTTGATTTACCAGTTTTAAGAATAGCTGCTTTTTTTGTGGAGTCCAAAAATATTCTTTGTCGAAATCTCTGGAAGGCCAAAAGACATCAAAAAATGTTTGATCTAAATATCATTGAATATTAACTTCTCAGAAACATAAAGATAATTTGGGGTCACGTGTCGCGTTTTCGATTAGATAACTACCCATATCGCTACTATATCTAGATTAGTTCTGGAAATTTCTCAAGTTCAAAGTCATACAAAAATCTATTAATACGCTCGATTTTCTGTAACTTTAAAATAACTTGTTACTCATATTTTGCGTCTTTTTTTATCATTCTAGTTAATGTGTAGAAGTAGTCTGAGTTTATAAAAAGCGGCTAAACAGGCAGTATTAAGCGTTCAAGTAGCAAACCAATTACTTGAGTAATAAAAGGAATTGTTGAGCTCATTTTAGTTCGTGATATGTTTCTTTCCTGTACAACGGTTACGGATGTAAAATTGTAGCTTTTCTTGCCGATCATGAAGATGGTTTTTCTCTCACATGAAGTAAAAATTAATTTTACTTTGTTATGTGGAAAGATTTTGTTGAGAACAGAGATAATATTCTTTTTAGAATTATATTACTTTAGAATTGTAACCTCTACTGATGTAGTCGATTTCAATATTAGACAGACCCTAAACTATCATAATTTTGTTATAAGTATTGTAAAAAGTATTTACCAAACTACTACTGGATGAAGTATTGTACTGTTGACGGATATAAGTAGTATGTAGCACAAATCGGAGGTATAATGCTTGCCAGAAGATTTGGAAGATTGAATTGAAGAGAACGGCAAAGGAAATAGATAGCATTTGAAATAACAACGGGATTAGTAGAATCATGAAGCACTTACAGGGCAACTGAAGGAAAATGTAAAAATAATGTATTTCATGTATAGTCATCACATTTTTATACCATAGCACCCTCTAATTTCGCATTAGTTTCTCCCTCCTGACTTCTTCATTCACTTATAGTATTGTTGTATTGTCTGAAAAATGTCTATGTTTTAATACTTTTATTCAGCTATGAAGACAATATCTGGATACAATAAAGACAATAAGAAATCAGAACAAGTTCAAAATGTTTTATGTCATGCTCTTCAATCTGAGTTAAATTCCTATGTCCGACAGAAAATACTTCATCTTTTATTATGGTTTATTCAAACTCGTTTTATCACATGTGATACAAATGAACATTTAATTGATAATGAAATTGATATTTTAGCTAAAACATCAATCCTTAATGAATATAACTCATTCAAACCTAAGACAATAGATTTTAACGCTTTATTTAATATTGAAAATGAAGTTATAGAACATGTTTTAAACTATGAGAATGACCATGTTAATATGGATAAACATCATTCTAATTTAATACGTAAAATATTTATACCAAATGATGATATCTTTATGAACAATGAAAGAAATCAGATTAAATTACGAAAATTACAATGTAATCTTTATTATTTATATGATTTCTTAAGAAAATTATTAAAATATGAAGACTGTAAAGAGCTTCAATGGTGAATCTTCTTTGTAACTTTTATAATTATTCATTGAACGTTTATTAGGTATTTTATAGGTAGTACTGATAATTTAGGTTTTATTTGATCAAACTATTGAGAATAGCAAATGCTTTCAAGCTGGTGTATATTTTATATTGAATTAGTCTTGTACAATATGTTTATCATATCATAGGTCTACATTGATCTTATTTATATACAAGCACAGCTTTCATGTTGTATTTAGTAAAAAGAGTGATGGGTTTTGTTATATTAGAATCTTTGGGTAAATAAATGAAGGATCAAATGGCTGTAAGTACCTTGGGTATCTAGTATTGATTGGTTGAATTTTATTATTAATATAGCATATTTTAAACAGAAACATCCATTCAGTATTTAAACCCTAGTTTATGGGTAAGACATTTTTGTTAGTTACCCACAGGTGATTTTTTGTCTTATTATATCTTGAATTCTAGAATTAAAAAACAAATATGCTTATAGATAGATGTGAATATTTAGATCTAGCCTTTGTTGCTTGTAATATAATAAGAAGTATGTCCTACGATTTTTTAATTATAATATGTTAATGAGAACTGTTTGTTAAAAGTAAACTGGTTGATGTGAACCGCGAAACAAGAAGCCTGAACAAACTACGGAAGCTATTTCTGGGGACGTTAATTCATTTAATTCAAAGCATGTAAAACTGTAACATTTATTTTGGCCCCTAGTCTATTCGATAATTTTCATGTTTGATTATATTTCCTTGAAAAAGCTTAGACCAGATTGCCAGGCAAAACGTTTGATTTACTTCGAATTCATTCGCTGAGATTTTACAAATATAATCCTATTTAATGTCTTACATCAACTCGGTGCCCAATTACTGCGAAACCTCTTAGAATAATATTACACTTACTATTATTCACCTTCTTATCTTCAACTGTAAATATGAAACATATACTAGTTCACAACTTAAATATGGATAATAATGAAAAAAATATAACTGTTTTCTGATAATAATTTACACAAGTTTTATATTAAATCACACTTATATGATGTACAGTAAAGAAATCACTTGATGTTTACATTACTCTGGTTGAATTATTAGTAATTTAATAGTGGAATTCATGAATCAATTAAAACTAGACCACCATGGAAAACTTGAAGGCACTGGATGACCATTTCATCGTAATATGGAACTCCTCAGCAGTGTGCATCCATGATCCTGCTCGCGTGATTCGAACTCAGAACCTATTGATCTCACACACGAACACTAACTCTATACACCACTGAATTGACATCCAATGATATTAATGTCTAACTTCAATCAATCCATGAAATTGCATCACCATCCACCATTGTCTTCAATAAATTATTATTAAACAAAAAATTACTTAGAGATCTATGTAACATAATTTCTTGCTTTTTTTTCTTTTTTTAGTGACTTATCTACAATGATAGAACCATTATTTCAACAAATATTAAATGAAGCAAATAAAACGGCACCAGAAAATTATTTTTATTCATATGATAATCATTCAAATTTATTACAATCATTATTAAATGAAAAATGTAGTGATTTAGTGAAAATTTGTTATGATATAATACAATATTCTTAAATATAATAATTTAAGTATATAAGTAGAATATTGTAAACTGTTTGAATTTTATTTTTATTTATTAGGTATCAATAATAAATGTATTATTCGAGTACACTTTAATGATCCAGGTTCATCGTATGATTGATTGTTGTTGAAATATATTAGTCATTAATCTTCGTATATAATCGTTGACTTAACTCGCATTAGCGTATAAGGGAATTGAATATATCAAATACGATAATGAATTTCGATTACGTGTATTTTATATGATTGTTGATCGGATATCGAAGCAAAACGAAATGAGGAGGAGAATGAGCCAACTCAGTTTAATCAAGCGATAAAGCGTTAATCGATATTTATAGCCACACAAAGATAAGTTATAGACATGTGATGAATTTCATAATATGTGTACACACATACGCTAATATACAAACAGTCAAGGTTGATTAACGAACAATCAACAAGGTCAAAATGCGACTCAAGAAGGATGAATAGAATGGCTTACCCGGAAGCTACAATAAGCTATGTGGGCTTAACATAGCAACCGACACAACTACACTTTCAAAAACAACCTAGAGTTAGGAAATTCATTTGGAAATGATTTGATGTTTCTTTTTTTAGGTGGATACAACATTATTATTGTTAGTACACTAATTTTTTTGTAAGTTTATCGATAGTTTGTTTCATCCGGCTGTATTATGATGTGGTTCAGGCAGAACTCGATCACTTTAAATTGACATCGATTAACAGTAGTTAAAATAATTGTCTTGCTTTGGGATCTCGGTGTTGTTCAAGTGTTATCAGTGTCAAATTTGAATTGGAGTTCAACTTACTATAAAGTTTACGATGAAATGGGCATAGTTTATTCAAATTTCGTAGTATCCACATCCGAAATCAACATACAAACATAAAGAATTTTAATCAATATTTCAAATACAGATGTTTATAATTATTATTTGTACTAAACTCTAGAAATTTGTTCGTTAATAATACAACCTCAAACAAAATTATCATATCTGTCAAGTGGAAAATAATCCCACGTAGTTCTAATCCCCTATCCTTCTCTAACCACTTGATCATTACATAACCTCATTTTGATGTTTTAAACCTCGAATTACTTTATGATGCTATCTCTTCTATCTTTCTGTGGACTTATATATTTATCAAACTATAGAAACTCTTCTGTAACTAGTTTTGTTTACGATTAGTTTTATCAAGTCCTTCAATTAATTTATTTAACAGACAATGTTGTCGGAACAGTAACAATTCGTTTATTTCTTTGTATTATTATGAACACTACCATGTCTGTATAAACGTGTATGCTTGATCACATGTGACAGCCTACGCACATATCTCTAACTTAAATGTTAGTCGCTTAAGTATCATTCTCTTCCGCATAGATGCATGAGCTTGAATCTTATTAATTGTGTTTGCCTTACTTCGCTTCATCTCGATTCGATTTGACTCTGAATCTGCCTCTGTATTTGCTTTCTCGCGAGCATTAGCCTCTCTGCTCAATTTACCTCAAGGTGCTTGTAACTTTGTTATCTGTGCTATTCAACAATAAACTGTAGTTGAGGCTTCGTATTACCTTTTCAATTCATAGACCGATGGGATTAATTTAGTAATGATTATCAAGGTGATTGATAAATGAAACCTAAGAAATTATCTTGAAGCAAGGCCACTACAAAACAACTATAAATACGAATGAATAGCTTCAATAAATGATTTCGTCGAAGAAAAATTTGTCTTCTCTGAATTCTCTTCATTTTTCTCAATAACGTGATGGGTTAATCAAACCATCCAACCAACCAATTGTTGAAGTTGGATTTCTTTAAAGTTTAAAGGTTCTCAAACATCTTTCTGTGTATGTTTTGGCTTACTAGTTATTAAAAATAACATGGTTTCACGCATACGTTCCACCACACAAAATCATATACTAACTCAGTGGTCTACAGTATAAGACACTAGGCTTAATGGTCATGGGTTAGATTGCCGGTAAAGTTGTGGATATGCACTATCAACAAGTCCCAAGCTAGGATGAAATAGCTTCACAATTTTTAAGAATTACCTAACCAGGGTCAATCAGCAACGTAATAAATGAAATTTAAAAATTTTCACAAATCCCGTATGATGATCATAGTATTCTTCAGTAATAATTTTTATTACAGTTATGAATCAATAAATTCACAAATACAATTATATGTCGGTCATTCCTAATCCATAACGACAGCTTTATGATATCCCCAATGAAATCGGAAAAGTCATTGTAATTTTTAATTTGCATTATAAGTAGAGTTGGATGGTGGCTAGTACTCATAAGATGGATGTGGCTGCATCTCAGAGTTGATGTTAAATCTGTGACTCAGAGCCAGCACCGTTTGATTTAAAAACCATCGCGTTATATACATAGCCATTAAGTCCAGATAGCTACTAGCTTGTACAATGTGGTGAATTTTAACTTGTTTGTGCTGGTCATCTGAATCTTATCGTTAATGTTTGGGACTAGAATTTTTCAGTTTCTCTTAGCATATATACATGCCGAACGGACTGCCTTGATATTGCCATTAGATTACAGACTTTATAGCTCCAGCTGTCGATTCTCAAAAGGGAGAGAACACGCATCTTGGATTCCACTATGTCACCATCTAATTCTACTTACATTGCTCATAAGTGAATGACAATTTCGAGTAAACCTAAAGAAGATACACATATCCCAAAAGAAACTAATTAGCTAGGTCCTAAACATCAGTGAAAAGATTCAAATAACCAATAAAAAAAGGATTTCTAACTTGATTTACGAAATAATAATACGGGCTTTCTGTTCTTTTGATCACGTCCATATTTTGACAGTATGTTGTACTATTTTACTTGAGCTTGCTTCAGCAATGTGTTTAGCCATATCATCGCCTTTATTGTAGGGAAAATCCACGGTGATCGTCGTCTAAATTTACATTCGAAGCTTTCGTAATCGTTGTTGTGTAGGAAGTTTAATAATCTGCTTCTAACAGAAAAGAGTCAATTTTTTACAATATATTTAGTTGTTTCATATTTAACCGCAAACTAATTTCTGTCTGGACTAAGTTACACTCCTCAACAACTATTCTTTCAGCTTTTTAATAACTGTCTGTTACTTATGTCCTGATCCTTGACATTTAAGTGTATTTTGTTTGTTTAGTTTAGCTACTGAATATAAATTCAGTAGCTTGCTTAATTTAATTAGTTTTTCATTTACTTTATGCGAATTGTTTTTGTACGAGAAAATTCATATTAATCGGATTTATAAATTGACTAAAATCTGTTTTGCAAGATAGAGTAATCAAAGGGATGAAGAAAAACGGAATGCACCCATAATGTCACTAAAAAAAATAGACCGCCTTTATACTATATGTTATTTTTATGTTGAATATTGATTTCGTACAATAAACGATATTAAAATTCTTTAAAATAGGCATGAGTGAGGAAAAAATAGAGACAATCCGCAAATATTTTTTTAAAAGGAGGTTGATAAAAGCTTGAAATTCTAGAAACTAAAATAATTGAGTCAATTATTTACTTTCATCTTAGAAATACCCACTGCACTTATACCGAAATAAATCTTCAAAAAAATTGTTGCTTGTACGGATAACTGAAATAAGACTGAAACAGCTCATGTGTTATAGCACAACAAAATGAGACCGATAAATTCATATGAATGTGAGACTGCTAAATAAAAAGTTCTTTTTTTTTAATCCAGACTAAAAATACAATTAGATTACTATGTAATTTGAAATATGCAAGTTTACTGTTGTTTTTGTTTTAGCTAACTTATTAAATTAATTATGACTTTGAAAGGATAAATTAATTAAATGTGCTTAGTGTCCATTGTTGCTTTTCGATATTCAAGTACTCTGTTTCTAGTAGGATATAGCAAAGCATACTGTTCATTAAGATTTCAAAGAATGGTTACTTGAAAAGTGTTAGTGTTGATCTATTAAGTACTCACACTAAATAATTTACTGTAAAACCTGAATAACACCAAATTTACAATATTTTGTTTTGTTAATAATGATGACATAACGGATATTGACAATGCAAGTAATAAGCCAAAAATCATTAATAACAACATAAGCATAATTAAATTGAACCAAAGATTATTTGACTTTTAGTTCAATGATCTGTCACGTGTCTGCAAATATTTAAGAGTTTCTTTAAAATGTAACAGTGAAACTCATTTTTTATAAAATACCGTATTCGTCATACAGGTGTCAATGTCATCCTACCTATTATGATTAACATGGAAATCAATGGCATTAAAACATCAAGTTTGAGCAATCACCAAAAGTCAGGCATACTTTATTCTACTTAGGTCTAGGAATTCACTGAAGCAGTCGAAATGATAAATTTAATTATTTACTTAATTATAAGTCAGGATGATTTTCTAATTGTAATGAATTTTAATTGACATTAAGTAAGTGGAAACATTGAATCGCACTGAAGTGGAAAAGCATCTCAAGAATAAACTGATGCTTATTTTAAATCATGCGTCGAAACCAGTTAGAAAACCGCTGATCACAATCAAGCCCTGATTATAAAGTTTGCATTGTCTTTCTAGAAAAAATCGTCTGGATATATTGCAAAAAGAAGATACTATAAGTCATTCACAATTGACTAGCAGCTTGTTCTGTTTAGTTGGGATTCTCGAATGTATTATTCACGAAACCTGATAAGGGCGAAATTGAGACTCAAGTTTGTTGGAAAGTAACCTATAGTGACCAAATACTCATATACAATAGCAACTACTTAATGCGGCAGAAATAAAGGTACATGCAAATTCTGTTCAAATGAATGAAGACAAATTGCAGCCTTGTCAGTACACTTAAAAGTGAAGAGGAATTACATGAATGTGTTTCTGACAAAAAACTACCCGCGAAACAGCACCAATAAGTGTTTATCAAAGTCCAACATTAACGGAAGAATTTATCAAACAGATAATCGTAGTCTACATGAAGAATATCTCCTAAATTATATAAAGATTG